TTTGAGATGGAGTCTCACTCTGTTGCCCAGGCTGGAGTGCAGTAGTGCCACCTCGGCTCACTGCAACCTCTGCCTCCCAGGTTCAAGCAATTCTCCTGTCTCAGCCTCTCAAGCAGCTGGGACTAGAAGCATGCCACCACACCCGGCTATGTTTTACTAGAGATGAGGTTTTGCCATGTTGGGCAGGTTGGTCTTGAACTCCTGACCTCAGGTGATTCACCGCCTCGGCCTCCCAAAGTGCTGAGATCACAGGTGTGAGCCATCATGCCCAGCCTGTGCCCACCTAATTTTTAAAATTTTTGTAGAGATAAGATCTCACTGCGTGGCCCAGTCTGGCCTGGAACTCCTGGTCTCTGGTGATCCTCCTGCCTTGGCCTCCCAAAGTGCTGGGATTACAGGCATAAGACACCACATCCAGCCCATTTACTGGATTTTATTCTAACAACCACCCTGTACCAGCTATCAGTTTACAGCCTGGTGGCTGTAACTTCACTCCTCTCTCCTGTTGGTGATATTGGAGCTGGACCCTGTAAACACTTCCCCTCTGCCAGCTAGCTCAGTGTTCAGCCTTGTCAGCGGAGGGCGCTGGAGGAGCACTGAATGAGGATGGGGCATCTCTCAGGTTCTCACGGCCCCTCTCAGCGGGATCTTGTGATGGACAGGGGCCAGCCCTGCACTGGATGCCCAGTGGCATTTAGCTGTCCCCCCAGCAAATTTCAGCGCCTGATGCACCTTGGTGAATTTCTCAGTCACCCAATGAACCATGGCCATACCTCTCCAGTGAAATTCTCATCTCAGGTTGGTAGCTGGTTGGGCAGGGAAGTCCTTCTTCCAAATTTATTTCTTCCTTGGGAATTTGGCTTCAGCCCTAGAGGAAGGGGCTGCTCCCTATTTTAGCTATTCCTATGTGTGCTTTTTGTTTGAGACAGTCTTGCTCTGTTGCCCAGGCTGGAGTGCAGTGGCAGGACCTGGGCTTATTGCAACCTCTGCCTCCCAGGTTCAAGTGATTCTCCTGCGTCAGCCTCCCGTGTAGCTGGGATTACAGGCACGCGCCCCCATACCAGTCTAATTTTTGCATTTTTAGTAGAGATGGGGTTTCACCATGTTGGTCAGGCGAGTCTCGATCTCCTGACCTCATGATCTGCCTGTCTCGGCCTCCCAAAGTGCTGGGATTACAGGCATGAGCCACAGCACCCGGCCCAAAGCATTTCCATCTTCCCAAACTGAACGCCTGCACCCACTAAACAATTACTCCCGTTTCCCCCACTCCCCCAGTCCCCTGTAACCATCATTCTGCTTTCTCTCCCTATACATTTGGCTGTTGTCAGTATCTCATTTAAGCAGAATCATACAATATTTTTCCTTTTGTGCCTGGCTTATTTCACTCAGCATAGTGTCTCCAAGATTCATCCATGTTGTAGCAAGTACCAGAGTTTCCTTCCTTTTTACGGCTGAATAATATTCCATTGGAAAGTTAGAGCATAATTTGTTTATCCATTCATTCATCAATGGACATTTGGATAGTTTTCAGCTTTTGATCATTGCAAGCAATGTGGCCATGAACACTGGTGTACAAATATCTGTTAGAGTCCCCCTCACGTTCAGCTCTTCTGGGCATGTTCCCAGAAGCAGAGTTGCTGAGTTAATATGGTCATTCTATGTTTAATTGTTTGAGGAGCTGCCAAACTGCCTTCCAGAGCAGCTGTACCATTCTACACTCTCACCAGCAGTGCTCAAGAGTTCCATTTTCTCGACATCCTTGCCACACTTGGTATTTTCTTCTATTCTGTATTCTTTTACTTTTTTTTTTTTTTTTGAGATGGAGTCCTTGTCACCCAGGCTAGAGTGCAGTCGTGTGATCTCAGTTCACTGCAACCTCTGCCTCCTAGGTTCAAGCAATTCCCTGCCTCGGTCTCCCAAGTAGCTGGGATTACAGGCACCCGCCATCATGCCTGGCTATTTTTTTGTAATTTTAGTAGAGACGATGTTTCACCATCTTGGCCAGGCTGGTCTTGAA